AGCGGGAGCCCAGGCCACTGCAGTAAGGCATTCCCAGGAGCAGCTGGTGGCACAGCAGCAAGTGTCCTGGAGCTGCCACTGCCCAATCCTGGCTTCTCAGGATGCTTCCATAGAAAAAGAGGCTACAGGCAGTGCGGGACAAGATCTCCCTGTGGCAAAGGCAGAGGTTGCCATCTCCAGGGCGTTCTCTGGTGCCAGTAGAGCAGGAGCAGATGGAGGAATATCTGCGCACTCGGTTTCCTTGTAGAGAGACACTCCATCCCTCCCAGCGCCTCTGGGAGAGCTGTCGCACTCCAGACAGAGGAATCCCTGTGGACAGGTCTCCCTTCTCCCTCTGAACCACAGGTATCAGGAGATCCGTCTCATCTCTGAGGATGCACCTGGCAAGGGAAAGGCTGGAATTTCCCCAGCCTGGAAAAGGTCCAAGGAAGGCATTGCCCGCAGCAAGTTGCACAGCTGAAAGAGTCCCAAAGCCACTAGTGCCCAATCCATTGCTCCCTCGATGCTCCGGCAGTGCAGTACGAGATTACTTTCCATACATTGCTGCACAAGATCCTTCAGTGCAAAGGCAGGTCCCCCAAGTCCAGGGCTCTCTCCTGAACCAGTAAGGCAGGAGCAGGAGAAGGAAGATCTCTGCACTGCATTTACTTTCTGGTAAGGCACTCCGTCCCTAGTAGAGCCTCTGGGAGACCTGCTGGAGTCCTGTCCACAGGGAGTGCTCTCTCTCGGCTCCCTTGGAGGCACAGCTCTCAGGAGACTTGCATCATGCCTGAGAATGCAAGTGGCAAGGAAAAGCATAGAAGCCATAAGCATGCTTCAGGCTTGAGGGAAGGCATTGCCAGTAGCAAGTTGCACAGCTGAAAGAGTCCTGGAGCCACCGGTGCCCAATCCATGGTTCTCAGTATGCTGCCACAGGGGTAGAGGCTCCACGCACTTCTGAACAAGGTCCTCCAGAGTCAAGGCTGGCTGTTCCCATCTCCAGGGTGCTCTATTTATCCGTCTGTGGAGGACCAAGAAAGGGAATATCTCCTGCACACCTGCGTTACTTCTGCCCACAGCCTTCATCCTGCCCAGAGAGACAGTGAGACCTGCTGGCCTGCAGATGGAGAAGCCTCTGTGGATAGGAGTCCCTGCTCCCTTGGAGCTGCGTCTGTCAGCAGACCCTGCTCCTGGCTGAACATGCACATGGGCAGGAAAAGGCTGCAAGGAAGAGTGGGAGCCCAGGCCATTGCAGTAAGGCGTTGCCAGGAGCAGGTGGCCCAACAGCTCCTGTCCCCGAGACACCCGTGCCCAAGCCATGGCTCCCAGGAAGCTGCGGCAGTGCCACATCAGGATCCTGTGCAGCAACGTGCAGGGGGTCGTCTCCTTCAGCAAAAGCAGCTGTTCCCAAGGCCAGGGTTCTCTCCCAGTGCGGTATGGCAAGAGCAGGAGAGGAATTTCTCGGCATCGCAGTTCCTTGTGGCAAGAGACTGCATCCCTGGCAGAGGTTCTGGGAGACCTGCTGGTGTCAGACACAGGAGCCCCTCTGGACGGGTCTCCCTGCTGCCTGGGAGGGGCAGGAAACAGCAAAGCCTGCTCCTCCCTGAGGATGCACTTGGCCAGGCAAAGGCTGGAAGTAAGAGCGGGAGCCCAGCGCTCACTGCCCCTTCTCCGCGCGGTCACGAGCGGTCGCTGCAGGACTGCCGGGGTCCAGCCGATCCCTCCCGGATTCCCGGGATTCCCTTCCCACGTTCCACCCAACGCTTCCCACGTGGGGCTCGAGGCGCCGAAGCGTCCCCGCGCACTCCTCGCCCCACGGCGGAGCGCGCGCAGCCAATGGGAGGACGCGGAGTGGGCGGGGCAAGGTGGGGATTGGTCAGGGCGGGGTGAAGAGGGCGGTCGGTGGGGGTTGGGTTGGAGCGGGCGGGGCTGGGAGCGCCTCGGAGCTTCTCTTGGCCGGCGGCCCCCGGGCAGTGGCCCCGGTGCGCGGTCCCGGGGCAGGGACCCCCCGTGCGCGGCCCCGGTCAGTGGCCCCCTGGGAGTGGCCGCTGGTGAGTGACCCTCGGTAAGCGACTCGCGGTGATCGACCCTCCGTAAGTGACCCCCGGTGCGCGGCCCTTGGTGAACGACGCCAGGTGAGGGACCCCCGATAAGTTACCCTCGGTGAGGGACCCCCGGTAAGTGACGTCCGGTGAGGGACCCCCGGTGCGCGGCCCTCGCGGGGTGTCGGGCCGGGGCTGGGCGCGTTCCTCACCATGCAGAGCTGAGCGGGGCCGTGGCGTGAACGGGGCCGAAGCGGAGCCGTCCGCGGGGGCAGAGGGGAGCCCTGAGCCGCCTTCTCCTGAGGGGGCTGCTGGAAAGGAGCCTGAGGTGGGAGGAGCAGGGGAAATGGCCTGAGGCTGAGGCAGGGGAGATTCAGGTCAGCTACTGGAGAAATGTTTTCCGCTGTGTTTTTTGGGTGCTCAGGCACTGGAATAGGTTGCCCAGGTGGAGTCAGCAGCCCGGGAGGTGTTTCAGAGGCGCCTGGATGTGGCGATGAGTGACAGGGTTTAGTGGTTTAGGGGTTCCCGGGGCGGTGCTGGACTCGGACAGTTGGACTGGATGGAATGATGGAACGTGCTGAGGTGGGAGGGTCCCCTCGGGACCATTGAGTCCAGGTCGTGATTTTCATGCACCAAGAAAGGAACTGAATCTGGATCAAATGATTTGGCTCCAAAAAATCTTCTGCCCCTAGTCTACACTGCAAAGTCAAACAAAAAAGACCATGCAAAATACAGGCCTGTGTTCTCCCCAGAGGGAAGGCAGGCAGTTGCAAAGGAGGGCAATAAATCAAAGCTCAGAGCATATGTTCATGGTCACCACACTTGTATGACACACAAAACCAGTCCTCTGTTCATTCCCCGTGTAGAACTCTCATCAAGAACTCCAAACTTTCCTGTCTGTATTTGTATACGTATATATATATATATGTGTGTGTGTGTATATATTTGTGTCTATCTGTCTAAGATTCTCTATCTTTGGATGCAACATTTGCATGCTATTGTTCTGTGGCAACAAGTGGACTTTAAAGGTTCCAACACTTGATGAGATGACCTTTCTGCTTCTGGGTTCTATTTTTTAAAGAAGGCAACAATAAGAGAACTATTTAGCCAAATATAAGTTAAGACATTAATCAGAGCAAATGTTTTGATTTTTATTTACAATTGTACAAGTCGTTCAACTCTTTGCATCCTCAAAAGAGAGGTTTGAAAATTCTCCCTCAGAAATAAGCAAAAATATTTTCGGAGGCTGTTCCTTCCAATAAATGCTCACCATTCTTGAAATGCAAAGCCTGAACAATGAAACAGGGGTTAAACTGGAATTCTTGTGGCCAGCACTGATCTGGACAGAAGTTCTTAGAGAGTGTAGCAAAGCCAGCAACAGAAATAACCTTTGGCTCTCTAGCACAGCTCTGCATTCATTGGTCATGGCAACAAAAGTTGGCTTTTAAACCCATCTGCTAAGGAAACCTTTGCAGAAATGTGAGCTTCTAATGCTACTTTTCTTAAGAAGTTAGGAGGCCTTAATACAGTGTACACAGATGAGAGCCTGAAAGAGGAGAGAGTCCAGTTCCTGATGATGGGTGGAGATGAGGAATCAGGTATGCTGAGCAGGCTTCGAGCTTTGTGAATTTTACAAGTCCCTCAGGTTTTCCTAAGTGACTATTTTCAAATCTGTGGTAGAAGAAACACTCGTTTCTGTTTGATCAGCTTTCCAGACTAACTCTTTTGGCCTCAGTAGCCAATTGCAACCTGCCCCGGGAAGTTCAGAAACGGCACCATTCATTAAATACACTGTTGTGTCCCAGAGATCCCACAGAGATTCAGCTCCAGTGCTAAACCCCACAGAGTGTCAACTGCCATAATAGCTGCTTTTTGACTTGGATGAGAGTCTCTCTTGTTTTCTTTGGTGTAGCTGGCACATCTGGAGCAAGGGGTCTGGGCCAAAGTACCTCGTTACCAGTGGCCAGTACAGATAATGTTACAACAGTAGCCATGTCTCTAATTAAGAAAGGCAGTTAGATATAGGAATTTATTGTCAAAGGTTTGTAAGAATGCGGTGAAACCTTTTACTTTCCTTTGGCATCTCACGTAATAATCAAGACTAAGCCATGTATTCTAGATGACGTCTTGAAAGAAATTTCCAGTTAGCAAGAAGTTTAATGGGTTAGTTTGCCATCAGTGTTTGGATTATGTTTTGCTGAATTTAAGTTCATAAGGAATTGCTAAGGGTTTTTTCCTTCCTTCCCTCCACCCCCAAATTTCATGTGATGAGACGGCTATAGAAGAGTTTTTCATAACTTTTAGTTATGTTTCTCTTGTGGAGCCATAGGCGTTACTGAGAATGGGCTGGAGTAATGCAATGAATATTTTCGTTCCTAGAAGACATTGTGACAGCCTATCAGGAGAAAAAACTTACTCAAGAAAGAAAACACAAACCCAGCCAAAAAGATACTCAACCATCTCAAGTCCAGTTGGGGAGAACATGGTGAGAGAAGCTGATGACCCTAATGAGTCCTTGTATTTCCAAGTGGTTCATACTTCCTCCTCAAGTTGCTCCATTCCTGTTAAACTTCCCTCTGTTAATAACAGAGTGTTGTAGTGCTCTGCTCATGGAGAGTCTCCTGTAGCAACAGATGCCAAAGGAGAGTCCTTCAAGATTTTTAAGGCCAAGAGCTTGCCAGGTGGCTTGGGCTAAAACACAGTCCTCCTTGCAAAAAAGGAAAGTGAATCCTAAAAACGGGGAAAATTTGTAGTTCCTTCAAGGAACAAAATATCTCCTGAGCTTTGGAAAGTAGGCATGTCGGCACCTGTGTATTCCCAGCTGACAACTCCTGCTGTAGCAGGATTGATGACTGATAACCCTGTTCTCCCCGCGCTGGGCAGGTGTTGGTGGGGTGTTGTATTGCAGCTGGAAACAGCCACGGCTGTCTGTGGCTTTACAGAGAGCAAAACATTAAACAGTAATCCCCCTCCAGAAAGCAGATTATTCTTACAGACTTCATGGCTTTGATGGCAATCGTGGCTAGAGCTGGTCAAGTGTGTTGTGTGCTAAAGGTTTTATGTTTGACCGCAGGAAATGTCTGTGCCCTTGAACACATTCTCAGTTTTCATCGGGTTAGTCTGGAAGGTCCCCTGAAGAGAATGTCTGATGTAATGAAACCTCTTGTCTGTCTGAAAACTGGGGCAAAAACTGCTGTGTTTTGGCTTGCAGGGAGGTGGACTGGTTTTCCTTGGCAAGCATCCTTTTCCTGCTCCTGTTTGCCCCATGGATGGTGGATTACTTCTTCACCATGTCCTGTGAGCAGTGCCAGTGCTCTCTGACTGATCCCCTCAGGGACTTGCTCCCAGGGAGCACACATCTGTCTGACATCTGGAACAAGACTCCTATGCTGACCCACCAGGCTTCTGGCATCTATTGCCTTTGGATGGCTTTCCAGGTACATGATTGAGTTCTGAACTGATGAAGGGTCTGGTTTTTCAAACAGCTCTTGGATGAATCCTTTTGCACCAAGGGTAGCGGAATGTAACCCTGGCCTTTCCTCTTTGGTGTTTCTCACTTTGCATGGCTTTGGAATCCAGGTGAAGCTTATGGACTGGAAAAATAGATGGGTAGGGAATATACACCAGTATCCCTTGTGTGATGTAATCCTTGATGAAGTTACTCTAGAAAAACAATACTCATTTGTTTTAAATTCATACCCAAGAAAGCACTGCAGAAGGGCTGATATTTTCTAGAGACAGGCAGCCAAAAGAAGGCTGTCAAATGAAATAGGACTTCTATGTGTGAAATACCTTCAAGCTTACCAAACCACTCCATTTTTTTTCCAAGTTGGAAAACACTTCTAACAGAGATGAATCTCAAAATAAAAGGATAAGGACCTGAATCTAGTTCCCAATATTCCTGCACCCTGAGAAAACTGAGCCTCATAAAGCCTAATGGTTACAGCAGAGCCTAAGATAACCTTCAGAAAAGTGAGGTCATTTCAGGAGCACTTGCTTGAGCTTCTGTATATTAATAAAAAGCTGTATGAATGTAGTGTCTCTAAACAGTCCATTTTTTCTTCCTATTTTAGGTGTAGTGAATAAATATGAACTCAGTGGACTTCAAGGCTGGATCATTACTCACGTGCTTTGGTTTGCAAATGCCTATGACTTCCACTTCTTCTGCCCCACCATCATTTTTGACAACTGGATTCCTCTGCTGTGGTGTGCCAATATCCTGCGATCTCCACTTCCCACATTTGCAATGATGAAAGGCTCCTTCTTCCCTACCAATGCCAAAGACTGGTATGTGACTTTGAGTAATGAGAGAATAGTGGTTCTTAAATAGTTAAATGAAGAGTTGACCTATAACTTGAAGGACTGGCACAAATATGTAAGCTAAGATTTGACTGTGGTTCTTTGCTTCATTAGCACCGTCCTCCATGTTTCATACATGTGATGGCAGTGGCAGCATCCCAGATACCTCCATCCTATAAATGGAGTTATAATTAGACTGTTGAAAAGTGTAAACAAAGAGTAAAGTAGGACACTTGTGAAATTCTGAAATTTATCTCTATTAATGTAATGCTAGGGTTGGGTCAGTTTGTGTTGTCTTGCACAACCTTCCGTGGGTTTATGATTTTTATTGTCACTACATCAAATTAATCTGAAATGTCTAGTCAGAATAGTACTTGCCTGTACTTGTATGTAACTGTGTACTTTTCTATTTTTTCCTGCTTTCCAGCAAATTCACTGGCAACTTCTTTTCCACTACATGCTGGGCATTGACTTTAACCCTGGAATAGGAAGGTGGTTTTGATTTCAAGCTCTTCTTCAATGGACGCCCTGGGATTGTAGGCTGGACTCTCCTTTCCTCTGCTGCCAAAGTACAGGAGCTGCATGGCCAAGTGACAAACTCCATGATCCTTGTCAATGTCCTTCAGGTAAACGCAGAGGAGGAAATGAAGAAAGCAGTTTGAAAATTACCTCCTATTAAAATAGGCAAAAACCTCCTTCACGGAAATTAAACTTAGACAGGAAATGAAAGTGGCCTGAAGAAGCTCATTCAGTGCTGAAGTAGTGGGACTTCTTTGGACACTTGTGTTGGTTTCCTTGGACACTTGTGTTCCTTCAGAGAGCCACTGGAAACACTACTGTTGACTCAGTGCCACCAGTGCCTTGGTCATGTCCGCACCAGATTTCAGTGGAAACTTAAGAAATGCTTTTCTGAGCTTCTGTTCTGGACACAGGCACAGCCTGATCTTGAATGCCAATGAAACAAAGACAAATTCCGTGGCTTTAGTTGCAGCAAGATTGGGTGGATTTTCTCTGAGGGCAGCACTACGCCTGACTTTGTGTGTGTGTGTGAGACAGGCAGAAGTCCAAATGCCTGCACACCTCAGAATAGTCCATGTGGTGCTGTGCTTTCTACTGAGGAGACCCCAAGGTAATAAATACAGGGAAGAGTTTGGCTCCGAGACCCTTTCAGCTGTGCAACTTTCTGCGGGCAATGCGGGGACACACGACCCCCCCAAACTCCGGGTGGAGATGGACTGGGGGATCCCAGCTGGGCCCAAGGCCACGGGGAGGGGCTGCGGCCACCGGCAGCTCAGGAGCTCTGTGGCAAAGGGGGGACACGACCCCCAGGGCCCCCCCTTTACCTTCTCCCGCAGGTAGAAACCGAGCCCCAGCGCCAGGAAGACGAAACGCAACACGAAGTCCCTTGACCCTCACCAGGATCTTGCTGCGGACGGTGTCCTGTGGCATCTCTGGGGGGAGCCAGGGGGGTCAGGACCCCCAAAACCTCCCAGAGACCACCCAGGACCCCACAAACCCTGTCCTGGTCTCCCCCAACCCACCCAGAACCCTCTGAAACCTCTTCCCAGTCCCTTCTGTGTTAGTTGGTTTGAATCCACGCCTGGAACAAAGACAAGTACAGCAGTCCTTCAAACACTACAAGAAATCTTTTATTGCAGTGAGAATAAAAAAACTTCTAGCAAAGAGAATCCAAAGCTAAAATAGAATACAAAAACACTACTTTATCAGTTGGCATTCATACAATACTATGAACAGCCTCTATTACAGCATGAGCTAGTAAAAAGGGAACTAAAGGGATCCAAGAAAAAGGATATAAAATGTTTGCTTTCCCTGTTGCTTCCTATCAATAAACTGTGCTCACCTGCACAGGCAGGCCAGGCCTACCAGGGTCTGCAGGGGCTGGTGGGTGCCCGTGCTTGGCGGGTGTCCCCGCGGAACAGCGCAGTGTGGATGGAAGGATGAGCATCGCTCCACCCAGCAGTGCCGACACCCCATTCCATCAGCTCTACGTTACACTACATAGGGCCAGGATGCAGTATAAGGTGGTGCTTGAGAGGCAGCCAAACAAATGCCTGTTCATCACCTCATGGCAACAGTCTGTGTGTGCATACAGACGTGCATTGCGTCTGTAGGGCAAGGGGCCAACAACCCCTGCCCAGATCATCTTCCTCTCCCCATCACCTTCCTCAGCCCTCTGGATGACCTCTACCATTGTGTTTTAAGGGGATTTGTATCTAACTTGCAGAATGTAGCCAAGCCAAGGAAGAATTCAGCTGTGATAATAAGGGACATGCAGTAAACTTTGCTAAAAGTACAATGAGCCTTACCGTCAACTTGTGCAAAAAAGTTACATTGTACAATACTTTGGCTGGTTTCACATGCGAATACAATCACTTTCTTACCCCTCTGTGTTCCATTGATCATCTAAATCAAAAGTATCCCCCTTACGCCTGGCAATGGATTTGTTCAGTGCCAGTATCACAGCCTTGTTCCCCTGGCTGCCAGCCCAGGGCCTTGTGACGTCCCAGCCTTTGTGGAACAGCGCGGGGGCTGAAAACTGTCAACGCTCCGTCCCCGTGCACAGAGCCTGGGCAGAACTTGGCCGGCAGGGACGGCAGAGACTGTGCAGAGGGGTCAACTCGTCCCACAGCAGCACGGTGCCCAGCCAGGGCATCTCCTGGCTCCTCAGGCTCTCTGTGCTCCTGCTCTTGCCTGGCACACTCGAGCCTTGCAGTCATCCCACAGGTGCCATTGCTGATAACCGGGGTTTTCCTTGGATAGAGCCTTGCCATCAAAGGGAGGAGCGGCTGGAGACAGGGCAAGGAGGGGGGTCAGGCTGGTGAGATGGTGCCGGCGGACCGTGAGCCCAAAGCCGGCAAGGCCTGGGACCAACAGGGTGTCAGGAGACAACTGGGAGGCCCTAGGGAGGAGGAAAGCTGGGCAGGCCCCAAGGCTCCTGGGCCTCTCCCTTGCCAGCCCTTTGCCCAAGGCCCCGAGGCAGAGGTGGGTGTGCATCCGTTCTTGCAGTTCTGGCAGGTGCTTCTTGTCAGAGGTCAAGAAGCTTCTGCAGCTTGTAGACAGAGAGAAGATGCTGAATAGCATCTGTAATTCAGGAGGAAACAGTTTGTGACCTGCTGAGCCACTTGGATCCTCACAAGTCTATGGGACCCGAAGGGATTCACCCAAGGGCGATGAGGGAGCTGGCAGAAGAGCTCACCAAGCCGCTCTCCCTCATTTACCAACAATCCTGGCTCACTGGGGAGGTCCCAGATGATTGGAAGTTGGGGAATGACACACTGATCCACAAAAAGGGCCAGAAGGAGGACCTGGGAAACTCCAGACCTGTCAGCCTGACCTCAGTGCCTGGCAAGGTTACAGAGCAGATCATCCTGAGTGCAATCACACAGCACCTACAGGATGGACAAGGGATCAGAGCCAGCCAGCAAAGGTTTAGGAAGGGCAGGTCATGTCTGACCAACCTGATCTCCTTTTACGATCAAGTGACTCGATTGGTGGATAAGGGGAAGGCTGTAGATGTGTCTTCCTGGACTTCGGCAAGGCCTTGGACACCGTCTCCCATAGCATAGAAAAAGCTGGCAGTCCAGGGCTTGGACAGGTGCACTTTTTGCTGGGTTAAGAACTGCCGGATGGCTGGGCCCAGAGAGTGATGGTGAACAGGGCTGCATCCAGTTGGTGGCCGGTCACTAGTGGTGTCCCCTAGGGATCAGTGTTGGGCCCAGTTCTGTTTAATATCTCTATTGATGATTTAGATGAGGGAATTGAGTCCACCATTTCCAAATTTGCAGAGGATACCAAGCTTGGGGGGAAGTGTCGATGAGCTGGAAGGCAGGAGGGCTCTGCAGAGGGACCTTGACAGACTGGAGAGTTTGGCTGATGCCAGCGGGATGAGGTTCAACAAGGCCAAGTGCCCAGTCATGCACTTTGACCACAACAACCCCCTGCAGCAGGGCACAGAGTGACTGGAGAGCATCCAGGCAGAAAGGGACCTGGGAGTTTGGATCGACAGGAAGCTGAACATGAGCCAGCAGCGTACCCAGGTGGCCAAGAAGGCCAGTGACATCCTTGCCTGGACCAGGAACAGTGTGGCCAACAGGTCCAAGGAAGTGATTACTTCCCCTGGACTCAGCACTAATGAGACCACCCCTCGAGTTGTGTGTCCAGTTCAGGCCCCTCAGGAAGGGTGTCAAGGTACTGGAGCAGGTCCAGAGAAGAGCAAGCAGGCTGGTGAAGGGACTGGAGCACAGGTCCTATGAGGAGAGGCTGAGGGAGCTGGGGTTGTTTAGTGTGGAGAAGAGGAGGCTCAGAGGAGACCTCATCACACTCTACAGCTACCTGATAGGAGGTTGTAGCCAGGTGGGGGTTGGTCTCCTCTCCCAGGCAGCTATCAACAAGACAAGAGGGCATGGTCTTAAGCTCTGCCAAATGAGGTTGAGGCTAGATATTAGGAAGAAATTCTCTGAGGAGAGGGTAATCAATCATTTCACTGGGCAGCTCAGGAAAGTGGTGAATTCTCTGTACCAGCAGGATTTTTAGATAAGACTGGATGTGGCACTTAGTGCCAGGCTCTAGTAAGCAGAGTGGTAGGGGATCAAGATATCGACTTGATGATCTCAGAGGTTTTTTCCAATCCAGCGGATGCTCTGATTCTGTGATTCATTGTGTGACCGACCTTTTGTTCTTTCTTTTGAGGTCGGATTCAAGCGGTCGATTGGGCTGTCAGAATTAAAGGGCAGACAAGCAAGGTGAGAATATTCCGGCCAGTCTGAATGCAAAGATATTTATGGCGAGCTGTATCATTGGTGAATCTAAGCGTATACCTTGTCGTTTGTTTTTTTCCAGTGATACACAAGGTGACAAGAGTCAGCAGAATGGGAAGGAGGTCCTTGCAGTAAGAGGTGAGTGAAAAAGAATGTTGCACTCTGAGGGGATCCGTCTGTATGTTCCTTTGCCTCTGTGATTTCTTTGCAGTGCCCATCCGTATTCCCAGAGGAGCAGACCACGGGCTGAGGAGCCGAGCGACAAGGTCAGGTGCTTTGGCGTTGGCCTTGTGGGCGATGGCAGGGACTTGAGGGCTGGGCATTTAAGCATTCCGCTCTTCTCTTTGGAGGTGCCAACCCGGTAACCTTTGGAAAGAAATGAGCGTCCCAGGTGAGTCGGGGAGGTATCGAGGAGGAGCAGGGGCCCAGGGAAGTGTCAGAAATGCCACTGAAAGTTTTTTTTCCCTGTTGCAGGTGTACCATGCAGTGGGAGCTGCAAGCTCTGCACCTCTTGCTGGAGGCAGTGACTTGAGGACTTGGGTGCACTTAGGAGAGGGTGAGTGTGGGAATGGTTGGGGTTTGGCCGATGTGATGCTAAAGTCCTGCACTGATTTTGGTTTCCTTTCTTGGAGCTGACAAAGAGAAGAACCCAGGGACTACAGGAAGCCCTGAGCCAGCTGAAGGCACATGCTTTTGGAAGGTGGATGGACTGGCTCGTCTCTCTGCAAGATAAGTGGGGGCTCTGAGACAGAGAGAGGATGAGATTCCCGTAGAGGCTTGGGAATGACTGGGAGGGCTTTTGAAATTAGTGTAAGGAAGGGGATAGTGTTAGGGTTAACAAGGGTTAGGGTTAGAGTTAGGGTTAGGATTTAGGGTTTGGGTTAGAGTTAGAGTTAGGTTTAGAGTTTTTTTTACGTTTCCATCTAGGATTCAGAAAGGGGGAAGATACCTGCCAGTACAAAGGTGCTTTGCACGGGAAACTCTTGCTCTTTGTGTAGTGCACCAACTTCTCTTGAGAGAGAGTGACTCAAGGCTTTCTTTCCTCTTTTAGTGGTCCCAGCATGGGGGTG